GAGACACTTGCCTGATGATCTGAACTTGATCCCCAGGACCCTCATATGGTAGAAGGAGAAAACCCTGCCCCTCGATCTGTCATGTGACACCTTGTGTCTTGGCATGCACACCACCCACCCATGCCCCTATGCACAGCTGGGGTGGTACATGTCTGCAATTCTGGCACTCCTACATGGAGCTATGAGGCAAGGACAGGAGACTCTTCTAAAAGCTCAGTGGCCAACTAGAATGGAATGGAAAGCACAGCAGCAGAAATGAGAAAGACCCTGCCTCAACAAGAAAGAAGCTAGAACCAATCCTAAAAGCTGTCTTTCAACCTCCATGGAGTCTGAGAGTGCATGCCTGCATGCACACATGCACACACACAAACACACACACACACACACACGCACACGCACACGCACACACACACACACACACACACACACACACACACACGCTAAACAAAAATTTTAAAGAAGAGCTATGTTATTAACATTTTTAATTAAATAACCAACCCCTTGTTCCTGGGCCCAGCCAAAAACCAGTGATGGGGCTGTGGGACTGATCTTTTAAATCTCTCTTTTCACCTAATCTTCCCTATTGTCCCCAGGACACTTTACCACAATCCCTCTTAAGTTGTCAGACCCAAGAATGGTGGCTGGAATCGCTGGCAAGTTTGGCATGCTTCTGAGGCTGCTGTCTTCTTAGGGAATCAGGAGCCAGAATTTAATCCCTATTGGCCTTGAAGGATTTCCTTTGCATCACTTTATCAACACAAAGTTACGAGGACAGGCTCTCAGGTTTGAGAGAAGTTGGCTGCACAAAGACAGATTAGAGGAGAGTTACACCCACCCCATCCTTCCTGAATCTGAGCTGGGTTAGTGACCGAGCTGGATAGTAGTTCCAGAGCTTAAGTTACTAAACCAGGGCTGGAAGAAGGTAGGAAAGCCTGTGCTGACAGGTCAGGGCACCCTCTCAGGGAGCCACAAGCCAGAACCACACTGAGGGAATAAAAGACAAAGACAGGAGATAGAGGACAGGAAAAAGGGTGCAGGAACAAGGGAGAGGGGAAAAGGATATTTGCCCCAGAGAGACAAAGGGCTGATTGCCTCTGTATAGAGAAGACAGACTTGCCCATAGGCAAATTGAAGTCTATAAAAGGAAAGGGGGAAACCCCATGTTAGGCTGAGTTGGCTTGTTTTGATTGGGCATGTCAATTAGGTGAGCCAAAAGGGGCTTTTGATTGATGAGCTTCAATACTTTGATAGCTGGACATTGGTAGTCAACCTCAGGAAGAGGAAGTGACCAAATAAGGAAACAGACCCTTGGTGGCTAGCTTTAGGAATGTAATCTAAGGATTTTTAGCAAGGAAGAGGGAATCAAGAAAGGACAAGGCCTTCCAGAGTCACGTTTGTCATGCTCAGGCCTGTGTTTGACATCCTGGGGCCTCCAAGAGCCTTTCATCCTGTCTCCAAAAACAAAATACAGTAATGTAAAATTAAATAAAAAACTTAAAATAGATCTACCATGTTGAAAGTTTCAGGCATTACACTGGCCTGGCCCTGTTACCTGGCAGAATCCACTCAGGCAGTACCCTGGTCAGCCTAGGGTTCCATGGGAACTAAGTCGGCACACAGGTGTAAAGGACCCCTTTAAAAGACAGACCCCTGCCCACTTACGCTCTCTTTGCTCTCTTCTCTCCTCTTCTCTTCTCTTCTCTCTCTCACTTCTCTCTCTTCCCTTCCTCTCTCTCCCCCTCACCCACCTGGAATAAACTATGGTTTATGTAGCTCTCATTCTCAAGTCTCCATCTTGCGCCTTTTTATATTCTTAAGCTTAAACAAGAGAACAACACATATGACTCACCATTCCTGGGTATTTAACCAAAGAGACTGTAAGTCATCACAGCACAGAGATAACTGACTATCCATGTTTATTCAGCACTGTTCTCATAGGTCTGGATGCCTGTCAGCAGATGATGAAGGAAAGGTAGTGCGTATGCACAGTGGCATTCTCTTCATCTGTAAAGGATGAATTATGTCCTTTGCAAAAAAATGATCAGTACAAGAGATCATCGCTTAAGTGAAATAAGCCAGACTCAGAAAGGCAAACACTATAACAATATATACTTTTTTTCATGTGTGGAATTTCGATTTTATTATTATTAAATCATATATATACACACATATGCATGTATGTACATGTACACACACACACACACACACACACACACACACACACACACACACACTATAAAAATAGAACCATTTGGCAGAGGAACGACAAGCTTGAAGCCCTGAGTTCTGTCCCATGTACTGTATGAAAACAGGCATGGGCATGATGGTACCAGTCTACAATTCCAGCACCAGGATCAAGGGTCATCCTTAGCTACACAGATAATTCAAGACCAGCCTGGGCTATAAGAAACCAAAAAAAAAAAAAGATTAATTCTGGAGTTCACTCCACTGAGCCATACGTGATTGGTTGTTCTCTCAGCCTTGATGATGACTGAAGTGTGCCTCGATTACGGTGTTCCTCAATGAAGACTGTGGTGTGAGCACCACGGTTGCCTAGGTAACTGTGGAAACTTGAGGTTACCTTTGGTAGTAATATTGACTCTTTACTGAAGTCCACAGATATGAGGGATGACTAACATGAGATAAATGTCTGGACATCTCTGTCTTCATATCTCTATGTCCCCTGGGCCTGAAGATGCTGATCACCTAAGAAACATTTTATTCAAAGCTACAACATGGGTGGGCCTGGCTACTACTCACTATGACTGCTAGTGTCCCTTTCTGCCTTTCTCACCAGTTGACACATCAACCATCCCCTGGCTTTATCAGCAGGCTCAGACTAAACCACAAGGCCAGGATGTTACACAGGAGGATGAAGGCTGCAGGAGGAGGAGCTCTGCAGTTCCTGGGCTCACCCACAGCCCACTGGCCTGCAAAGCCGGAAAGCAGAGTGTGTGCACAAGAGGGAAACTGTGCCTGATTGTAGTAGGCAGGTGCCAGACTTTACTCAATCCCCAGAAAGCTAAAAACAAACCAACAAACAAACCTGATGCTTTCTTCATTTAATGTCAGTCTCATTCTGCCTCCAACACGACACAAGCCTGCAGCAGCTAAAGTCTTGAGCAAAGGAAGGCATCCCTCAAAAGAATGAGATGGGGCTTGTTGCTAATGTATGGCTTTGGTTTTTTTTGTTGTTTGTTTGTTTGTTTTGTTTTGTTTTTTTGAGACAGGGTTTCTCTGTGTGAGCTTTTGTGAGTCATCACCTTTGTTGGGGAGGTCTTTTCAGTTGCTGCAGCTGTCTTTGAGTCACCCACATTCCTGTGCACAAACCCTCACCCATACTTCTGTAAGGAACCCCAATAAACTAATTCACTGACTCACCAGGCTGGATTTGGAAGGAACTGTTCCTCCAGTCTGTTGTTGGTGCCCTGAGGTGAACAGATACTTATTTTCATTTCCCCAGGAAAAATCACACACACTGTTGAATAACAGATGATGACAGAACCCAGACAAGGACACGAACGAAGCTGTCTCCAGCTGAGGAGGAAGTCCCTGGCTCAGCTGTCTGCCCAACTTAAACAGGATAACACTTTCAAGGGAGAAGCAGGCATTGAAACAGAGAATATCAAAGCCAGGACCTGCCTTGCCAGTGGCCCAATCCTAGCAGTCACAGAGAAGAAAGAACTTCTGGAGGAAGAGGGGATGCTGGCAGGCCTGGCTTGCTGGCTGGCCTCCTTCGGCAGCCCAAACAAAGAAAAGAAAGACATGGTCCTCCAAATCCACATAGTGGTGTCCAACCAGATCATTTAATACTGCATCCCCCAGAAAAGCAGCCTCTCTGAACAGTGTTCACTGGAGTGAGTTACAGCTACTTCAGGCCTCACAGTCATTTGTGAAGAGCCATTTGCTGGCGTTGATTGTATGAGATAAGAATCAGTGTGTCTGCCATCCAGGTTCTATCTGAAATCTCAGGAGAATCTGAGCTCAGTCCACAGCACAGAGACTGCCGCTGCCTGTGAGCGTCTATGGCTGTTAAACATTTTAGGCATCACGTGGCTTGTGGCTACCCGACTCCAGAGACTGCTACATCTCCATGTGGCCTTGCTTCCTCTATGTGTATGACCTCTCTCTTCTCAGTACAGCAGTCAGACGAGGTTTGCGATCCATGCAGCTCTGCTCTAGGAGGACCTTATATGGACTAATTATGTCTAAAACACACCAGTTTACATAACCATCCTGAGGTCTTATGAAGAACATGAATTTTGGGAGGGACAAGATCTAATACCAGCCATCCCAACATCCTAAAGGCCAGGGAGAGGAAAACCGGTTTCTTCGGTCAAGAGGAAGAAATCTCTGGCATGGGTGGAGCTCTATCATTCCAAGACAGGTCTAAAACAGCTAGGCTTGAGGATCTGTGCCTTTAATCTCCCGCTTTGAATTTCAAGCCATCCTGCCTACAATAGAGAGACTCTGTCTCAAAAAGCAAAACTAAAAACAAAGGATGACCTTGAAGTTCTGATTCTCCTGCCTCCCTCTCCAGAATGCTGGGATTACGGCGTGGACCACCATTTCCGGTTTGTGCAAAGCGGGAGATGGAACCTAGGGTTTCGAGCATGCTAAACAAGCACTGTATCAATGTACATATCTCCAGGCCCCATTCTTGCAATTTTCTATGAGTTTGACATCATATAAAAATAAAAGGTTGCCGGGAGGCACTGGCTCATGCCTTTAATCCCAGAACTCGGGAGGCAGAAGCAGGCAAATCTATGAGTTAGAGACCAACCTGGTCTACAGAACTAGTTCCAGGGCAGCCAGGACAGTTACACAGAGAAATCCTCTCTTGAAAAACAATAAATAAACAAATAGTTCCTATCGTCCTTCCAGCCTTATCCTTCCTGAAGGAATTTGGAGGCATAATCTCACAAACAGGAAGGTGTTCCAGGTCCTTAGTACCTGGAAGCACCCGCCAGCTGGCCTGAAGTCACATGGGACGGGCCCACGTGACCGGAGCCCCAATCCAATATGGCGGCGCCCAGGGGGCGCGGGCTGCTCTTCTTGCCCTCGCTGCTCGGCTTGCTCGGAGTGGTGTGGTGCAGCCTGAGCTCCGGGTGAGTGCAGCTGCCAGGGCCGGCCCGGCTGGGGTCCCCCTGTCCTGCGTGCTCTCTGGCACAGCCCTCCGAGCTCACGATCGCCCCGTCCCCGCAGGGTTTCCC